GCGGCGGCCCGCCCCGCCCGTCCCGCTAGAGAACCCCGGGAGGGCGGCCCCGCAGCCAGTCGCTTCCCGCGCGTCCTGCGACTCCGCGGCCTCTCGCCCCCACGACCAGCAGCATGGCCATCAAGAAGATTGCGATCTTCGGCGCCACCGGCAGGACCGGGCTCACCACGCTGGCGCAGGCGGTGCAAGCAGGCATGAGCTGGGGCGGGTGGGCGAATTCGAGGCTGAGCCAGGGGAAGAGGAGGTGGGGCTGAGGCTGTTTGGGGCGCTCAGGGCCTTGGTGAGGGGGCACTCAGGGCGCAAAGCACGCGACAGAAGTGGGGGCGCTATGAGATCCAATTTGATATGAGCCCAGAGAATAAGAAATGTTCCTAGGGCCCTGAGGGACGCTGGAGACAGACCCAAGTCCAGGGCACACAGGGAATGCGCCCGTCGTGGGGCCGGAGGCAGGGGTGGCAGTTAAGCCCACCGAGGGAGGGCTCACAGAGCCAGGGGTCAGCTTGCTTCCCCATCCCTACCCCCAGGCACTGCCCTCTGTTCACGCGTGTGAAATCCTCGCTGCCCTGAGAACTAGTCCCATCTCATTTGACACATGAGTAAACTGCAGCCCCTGGAGTGACTTGTCCAATGTCACTCCGTTGGAAGAGGCCGGGATGGGATTTGAACCCAGCCGGCGCTCTTCATCGCCAAAGTTCATTGGCTCTTGGCTGTGGCACTGAGGCTGGAAGTTGCAAAGGAGCAATGAACACCTACTGTTGAGGATTACGGAGACATGGGTGAAGACTTGGGGACACTAGCTCTGGGAAAGGCCGTGTGGGTTAAAGAATTGGTACCCGAGGGAAGGAGCACCCCCGCCCCCAAGGTTTTGACTTCAACCCTCAGCAGGGCCTGGGACTTACAGATATAGGGCCTCACCCCTGCTGGCATTGGTGACTGAAGATATCGACTATCTGGGTGTCCCAAAAGGGTGGGTCTCACCCGGATCCCACTCTCTGCTGTCTCCTAGCTTCATCCTGCCTATAAGGCATCTGCCAGGAAGTCTCCTGTGAAGCGCACTGCTCTTCCCATCCCCAGGAACACTAAGTGGGGATCTTCACTTGTAGGGAGAAGAGAAATAAATTTGCTCATAAGCACTTCTGGGGGAGGAAATAAGAGGGAGAAGTTAGAGGTGCTGAGTCACCCTGAGGATCCAATTCCCTTGTTACCACCTTTCCCTTAGTCCTGAATTCCCCTGACTTCCCCTCATCCACCCTGCTGGTCACAGAGGGAACTGCACCCCGGAAATTGAGACCTGGGGCCCCAGAAACCCCTTTCTCAGATCTTCTGCTGTGGGTCTAATAAGTCTGCACAGCTGAGAGCCTCGCTGTCCCCATCAGAAAAAGGAAAGGCTTTAATAAATGGGGCTTTTATTTACTTGCATGATTCTGTAGGGCTAAGAGTCGTGACGGGTAATAATTCTGGTGCCAGTGTGTCCACCATCAAGCTCGTTATGTGTGCCCTAGATGCATGTAAAGCGGAAATGAGGACCTCCCTGGGGGCGTAGGGGTTAAGTCTGAATGTGGTCACCACTACTGTCTGAGTTCTATCCCGGCCAGGGAGCTGACCCACATGGTGCAGCAGACCGCTCCTGTCTCCCGGCTGCCCCTCTCAGCAGTGGACTTCAGTCATTCTGCTGTTCTGCTCCCCACTCTGTCTCTGGTGAAACCTCTCACCCACACACACACACACCTCTGATCTACACCGCAGTTCTTCTATTCATAAAATAAATATTTAAAAATTAATAAAATGGGACTGAAACCCATACCACTTGATTTAGGAGGGAGTGCGTGGGACGATTAAGTGAGATAATGTGTCAAAGTGTTTAGAAGTGTCCCCAGCTCAAGGTGATGCTGGGTAAACCCCTCCTTGGCTGAGTCAATTTGGATTATAGCTGTATAATGCAACCCCAGCTCCCTAAAATGTCTCCATCCTGAAAACAGGCACTGTAATAATATCCACCTTGCAAAGTGGTTGTCAGCTAGCACTTTTCGACTTATGAAGGAGTTTTGAGGCATATTTGGCCACCGTCGTATCGAAATGTGTCACATGTTAAATATTGGTTTCATAAAACTCTTATTTCAGACTTGGGTAGGCTGTGCCATCTATTCTATACTGAGAGTAAAGATCAAAGAAGTTTAAAGGAGGCACAATTTCTGCAACTTACTCTCAAATAATTCAGGGGGAAAATATTTCTTAAAAAATATTTAGGCCCTCCCTGGTGGCGCAGCGGGTTAAAGCACAGCACTGAGAATCTGAAGCCACTTCCGCATGAGTTCGATTCCCGCCTGCCGCCTGCCCCGGAGGAGACCACATGGCGAGCCAGACCTCTCCTGACCCGCCCGCTGCTCCCCTCAGCAGTGTACTTCGTCGATCTGCCTGCTCTGCTCCCCACTCTGTCTCTGGTGAAGCCTCTCACCGCCCCTGAGCCTCTGGCCTGTACCCCAGTTCTGTATGAATAAATAAATAAATCTTTAAAAAAAAAATATTTAGTTATGCACACAGAACTGGGGTACAGTCCAGAGGTTCAGGAGGGTGAGAGGACTCAGCAGAGGCAGAGTGGGGAGCAGAGCAGGAGGATCTGCCTGGGGGAGCAGACAGGAGAGGTCTGCCGCGCCACGTGGGTCAGTCCCTGGCCGTGGCTTTTAAATTTAAATGCAGGTTGGGTTAACATTTTTCTGGAAGAAAACCAGTCACCTGCGAAAGAGTCTCTACAACACTTGCCACATCATACGTTCTCAGTAAACCACTAATTGGTCACGATCACCACTGCCAGTGGGCAGCATATGCTGGGCGTGTAGCAGAGCTCATGCAGTCTGCAAACGTGTTTCTTCCCACCAAATACTCACCGCTTATGAGCGTCCATCTTTTCTTTTAAGATTTGCTTTTGTTTATTTACACACACAAGAGCAGGGATACAGGCCAGAAGTACAGGGATGGGACGGCAGTGCGAGGAGTCACCAGACACAGAGTGGGGAGCAGAGCAGGCAGATCTACAAAATCCACTGCTGAGGGGCGCAGTGGGCGGGACAGGAGAGGTCTGCTGTGCCCTGTGGGTCAGCTCCCTGGCCGGGGATTGAACTCAGGTTGCAGTGGCTGCGGATAGCTTCACAGTGCTGCAACTTTACCCCCTGCACCACAAGGGAGGCCCTAGGAGGGCCCACCTTAACACAGTACAGTGGCTACGCACTGATGGTAGACCGCCAGGCCTCTCCACCACAGCTGGCCCCAGGGGTGGGTGAGAGCAGAGCTGGGTTGGTGTTGTTCTCTTATGAAAGGCAGTTGCCAGCATGGGGGTGTGCTGGTTGCTGTGGTCTCTCCTTCAGAGAGGAGACTGAGGCCCTCTCAGGGAAGGTGTTTTCTGAGGTTCCTCTGCCAGCAGGTGACAGAGCCCGAGTTTGAAACCAGAACTATGGGGCAGTGAAGCCTAGATGGGATCTGAGCAGGAGGACATTCAGTACAACTGTGGGAAGCAGTGTCTGGCTGCCAGGTGGAATAGGAATCCGAGGCGGGTGAGACAGGCCAGAAGCCCAGGCAGGACTAGACCAGGCCTGGAAATCAAAGTGTGAGAGGATTCAAAGGCGAAGTCACCATCAACCCCCGTACAGGGCCAGGCACTTCCCTATACTTCATGTTTGTCTGTTTTAATTTTAGTTTTGCAGTTTTTATTAAAAATTGAAATTTATTTTTAATGGTAGTTTTGCAGTTTTATAAAAATTTATTTATTGATGCATATAGAACTGGGGTACAGGCCAGAGTGCAGGGAGTGAGAGGATTCACGAGAGACAGAGTGGGGAGCAGAACAGCAGATGGATCGAAATACACTGCTGAGGGGAGCAGCGGAACAGACAGGAGAGGTCTGCGGCGCCATGTGGGTCAGCTCTGGGGCCGGGGGTGGAACTCATGCTCCAGTGGCTGTGGTAGCTTCATAGTGCTGCGCTTTAACCTGCTGTGCCACCAGGGAGGGCCCAGTTTTGCAGTTTTATAACAGTTTTATAAAAATAAATTCACATTCTTGTAGTCCACACATTTCATGTGTATAGTTCAGTGGATCTTAACATATTTAGAGAGTTGAGGAAACATCGTACAATTACTTTGGAATATTTTCTTGGCCCTCAAAGAGAAACTTCTAGGAGCTACCCCATTGCATTTCCCTGCCAACCCCTCCCTCCAGGCAACCACTGGTATCTACCTCTATTAGCAGAGATTTGCCTTTCTGCACATTTCATATAAATGGATCACAATATGTCTTTCTTTGTGTCAACATGGGGTGTTGTTTTTAAGATTTATTTATGCATACAAGAATTTGGGTGCAGGCCAAGGTGGGGAGGAAGGGATTCACCAGAGACAGAGTGGGGAACAGAGCAGGCAGATCTACTGCAACACACTTCTGAGGGGAGAAGCGGAGAGACAGGAGAGGTCTGCTGTGCTATGTGGGTCTGCTCCCTGGTGGGGGATCGAACTCAGAACTCAGGCCGCAGTGGCTGGTGATAGCTTGTTAATGCTATGTCTTTAACCTCTGCACCACCAGGGAGGGCCCAATGTATGTTGTTCTCTGTAATTGGCTTCTTTCAGCAACAGAAAATGACTCTTTCAAGATTCATCTTTGTTGTAGCATGTAACATGTTACTTTTCATTATGATGGAATACCATTACATATAATGAACATACTGCCTTCGATTTATCTGTTCGTTAACTGAGATCATTTAAGTGATTTCCTTTTTTTTTTTTTGGTTATTTTGAATACTGCCTCTGTGAACATGTGGGAACATGTTTGCATTTATGTCAATACCCACCGAGGAGTAGAATTGCTGAGTCATATGGTAGCTGTGTTTAACCTATTGAGGAACTGCCTCTGTTTTCCAAAGTAGCTGAGTCATGCAGCCTTCCCACCACTGTGTATAAAGGTCTCAGTTTTTGCATATGCGCATCAGTATTTATTGTCTATCTTTGACAATGTCCATCTCCGTGGCCCTGAAGTGGTATTTCACTGTGGTTTTGATTTGCATTTCCCTGATCTATACTGATACTGAATATCTTTTCATGTGTTTATTGGCCATTTGTATGTTTCCTTTGGAGAAATGTCTATTCAGACTTTTGATGAGTCATCTTTTTATGATTGCTTTATAGGAGTTCTTTCTATACTCCAAATACAGGTCTGCAAAAATTTCCTCCCAATCTGAGGTTTGCCTTTTCACTTTCTTGCTGGTGTCCTTGGCAGCACAAAAATTCTACATTTTGATGATAATTAGTTTTTGCATTTTTTCTTTTGTTGCTCATGTGTGTGTGTGGTGGTAGCTAGGAAACAAAACCACAAAGACTTACGACTGTTTTCTTCTAGGAGTTGTATGGTTTTACCTCTTACATCAGTTTTTCAATCATTTTGGCTTTTTTTTTATATGATGTGAGGTTGGGATCCAACTTCATAATTTTGCATATAGATATCCAGTTGTCCTAGACCATCTATTAAAAAGACTCTTCTTTCCTCTACTGAATTGCCTTGCTACCTTTATCAAAAATCAACTGATTACATTAAATTGTTAGACATATTTAACCCAAGAGCAACCCTGTAAGGTAGCAATATTCTGTCACTCTCCAAGTGAAGTCCCTCTGATTTATAGAGGTTAAGTGATTTGCCCACTGTCCTACAGCTAGCTAGTGGTAGGATTAGAATTCAAATCCAGAGTCTCTTGGAGGAGTAGATGACTAATAATAATTAATAAATATTAAATAATATAGGCAAAGCACTTGGCACCCACTACATATTAAGTACTCTTTAAAAAAACATTTATTGTGGGCCACCCTGGTGGTACAA